GGCCCCCCCCCCCCAGCGGGCAGGCCGGCTGCAGGAAGCCGGTGGTCAGCCCGGACCCCCCAGCAGCCTCCCACAGCCAGCTGTGACCCAGCACGGCCACCCATCGACCCAGCTGCCGTGACGGCAAGCAGCAGGACCAGCACCGGGGCCAGACGCCAGGGAGCAGGCAGCCACGCTGCTCACAGCGGGTGGCACACAGCATGTTCAAACCACAAGCCAAAATGCCCCAGCTAAAACCTAACAGTCGCTGTTCAAATCCCCAGCCGGCACCGAGTTCCCTCCGCGCCACCACCATGACCTTGCACCATGGCTGGTGGGGCTGCGGTCCAGCACCGGGCATAGACTAACCCAGCACCAGGCTGCAGTGCCTCAGGCAGCACAGCTGCAAATCACCATCTCCCGGCTTCTGACAGCTTCCCTTCTGAAAAGGGAATAAAGCAAGCTGCTGCTCCCAATGGAAAAGAGGGTCCTGCTCCAAACTCGTGGCCTGTTGGGCCCCACGTTCTTGCAAGTAGCTGCTGCCCCGCGCCCTTACCTTCACCACTTGCTGGTAGAACTGGCCCAGCACGTGCTGCCACATGGACTGCTCCATGAGGACACACAGATCCGTGTAGGTGAACCAGCCACGCCACATGCCCTGCTTTTCTGCCACACTGCAGGAAAAAAAAGGGAATGGTGGATGTGAAATGGACCTTCTCCATCAAACAAGCTTCAGCCCAGGTAGGCTTGGAGAGAGAAGACCTTGCTCAAGGTCTGTGGAAGGGAGCTGCAGAGCCTAGTGATGGCTCACGGGTGCCCCAGCCTCTTACTTCAGGGCAGCAGGGCTGGCTCTGCTCAGGAGTGCACAGCAGATGAAAGGCTCACCCCCACCCCACACACCTACCGTCCTTCCAGCCAGCTCAGCACTTCAAACAGCTCTCGGGGGTCTGTGTAGAGACTCCAGTCCTGTGGGGACACAGTGAAAGGTCAGCACAGTCAGGGCAGACCACCCAGCACCTGCACACATCCTTCCCTATTCCTTCATGGGAGTACATGGGGGAAAAAGAAATCCAGATTCCCCTTCATGCCTCCTTTCCCCCGCCCTGTGAAATACTCGGCCACAGCGACTGCCCCACTTACAATGGCGCTCAGGAAGTTCATCTCCAGTGTGTTCATGGTCTGGACGTCCACCTTCCCTGCCGCTCCCCACTCGTCGTTGAACACCTCCTCCTCCTCACCCTCATCATACAGGTACTTACTAGCAACCATCTAGAAGCAGCACAAAGGACAGGACCTCAGTCCCCTCTGCACTCCTCCAGGCCTCCCTCCACCACAGTGACTCCCCAGCGCACACCCACTCACCATGGAGATCAGGAAGAGGTCTGAAGATGAGATCTGCTGGAGGTATTCAGGGTTCCGGTGCCGGAGTCTCTCAATGTATACCAGTGCCAGCATCATGGAGCAGGGCGAGATGCAAGCTTCCCTGTGGGTCACGGCAAGAGCCAACCCAAAGGTTATTTGTGTGCTACAAACATTCCAGTCACCACGGCACAACCTGGCTGCTCCCTCCCCACGCAGGCAGTGGGGAGGTTTAGTAAACAGACAGCTAGAAATGTCGCAGCCTTGCCAGCTCTGTGGCAGCTCTCCCGAGCTGCAGCAAGACAAAGGGCAGGGTATGCAGGACAGAGCAGAAAACCCTGGCTCCTGTCCCCAGGCACAGCCAGCTCCAAACTGGGCAGCCCTGCCCGCAGCCAGGCACACTACAAGGGCTTGGCCACCAACAGCAGGGCCAGGGTTCAGACCCGGCTGCCCAGGGAGCGGTAGATTCTCCCAGTACAGACTCCTGGTAACAAGAGCACCCCCGCACCCCAGAAAGAGCGACCAACCTGAAGCGGGCCCTGGCTGTGTCAGGAAGCCACTGTGCCCGCTGGCCTTGTCACCTGCCCCCAGCTCCTCTTCGGCACTAATCAGGCCTCAGCACAAAGCCAGGGCCAGCCCAGGGGACAGCAGTGAGTCACAGGTGAGACCAGAGCTCCCAGTTCTGACATGGGACATGAAGGAACAGGTTTTGCTTCTTACCGAGATACATGAGACACATATTTCTTCTGGAGTCTGCGGATAGGGCTGGGAGCCACTTTCTGCAACAACTCCACAGCAATATCTAGGACAGAAAAGCAGCAAAAGGGCTTAGCCCCATACGACACAGTCCACCCTCACCCTTCCCCTCCCCACAAGCCCACTGAGTTTCAATGTTTGCTCAGCCTCTCAAGTTTAAATTAAAGTATGAATGTAAGACAGGTCTTATCAGAAGTCAGGGATGAGGGAAGAACAAACAATACACAGGAGAGCCAGACCAAAGCAGGAAGAGGACGTGAGTGTCCAAGGCCCACCGACAGTGCCAGATCCAGATTAGCCCGTCTGCGTCATGGGAAGTTACCAGGAGCCAGCTGCACAGGGAGGCTAACACCCTCCCCTCACCCTGCAGGACCTCAGGCAGCCCTTTCAGAGGCTTTCTAGCACCTGATGTCAACACCAGGTCTTCCCAGTCCTCTGCTTCACTCCAACAAGCACCGTCCTCCTCCAGAGCTGGTGAGCACTGACCCAGCTTCCCCACCACCACAGCCCCAGTGCCCCCGAGGTGATGATGGACAGTGTATTCACGTGAGCAGGGGCCCAAAGGCACTAGCAGGGCACGGAAGCAGCAATTCGGTATAACCGCAGCTCCCCACCTCAGCCTGTCTCCCCCTCACCCGCAGACGTGCCTCAGCATTCAGGCACTGAAAAGGCCAGAGACTGACAGATGCTGGCAGATGGCTTCGGCAGCTCCCGCCTCGCTTCTCAGTGCGACAGGACCAGCTGGGAGCATCCCAAACAGCACTACAGTCTGATGCTTGGCAAGAAGTGTTTGACAGGCAACTCCAGCTCCATTTTGCTGCTGAGCCCTTGGCTGACAGAGTTGGAAGCCGAGCTCATCCCAGCAGCCTCGCATCTCCAGCCCTCAGAGGAATCATCAACACACAACCTCTTCTCTCCACATCCCTCATTTCCATGTCTCTCCAGCAACTAAGAGAATAGCTGCAATCCCACAGGAATTATTTGCCTGACAGCACCCACCAATCTCAGAAACACACTGCTCTACAGGACCTGCCCAGGTCCTTCAAGCCCTACCACTGCTGGGATCCACAGCCAGGCAGGCACAGCTCCAGCCACCACACCAGCAGCTCCCAGCCTCTTGCATGGCTGCTGCTCTCTCTGCCCTGCTTGGCCAGCCTTGTGCCACCACACAGGCAGCAGTGATGCCCCAAGGGATGGAAGGCACATGAAGCCCCCCCATGCTCTGTCCCTACATGATAACCTAGTTCTTCCACCCACAGACCCAACCCATGGCAACGTGTCCTGGCCTAGAGGACACAGAGAGCCTCTGATCGCTGTCCCCATGCCACAGTCACGGCATGCTGAGGGTGGTTACGGTTCTTCCTTTCCAGAACGAACAAATTCACTTTTCAACCTCTCTTCTCCGCCAGCCCCACAATGCCCCCCGATACCAAAGACCTTTCCAGCTCCTTCTGCTGGAAGGACCCTGGACCCTCTCCACCCATCTGCCTCTATCTCAGCTGAAGAGCAGTGCCCTAAACTCACCATGTAGCAATGGCACAGCTGTACCAAGGCAGATGTCATAGCCCTAGGTCCTGTTTTTTGACAGCAGCTGATAAAGGAAGGCTGTAAGAGCAGATAAGCCTGCAGAGAGATTCTGTGTGCACCGCTCCCGCAGCAGCTGCTGGAGCCAAGGCATTTCCTGGGTGCAAGGCAGTCGTTATCGTTAATAGCCCTCAACAGAGTCTTCTTCCATGAATGTGCTCTTTGAACTTTTGACACCAACAGCGTCCTGTGGAACAGTCCCACCTCACGCGCGGGTGTGACGCCAGCCCCAACAACGAGCCACGTGGTCCCCTCGCACCGCCTATGTTGGAACACGTGACTCCCAGCAGTGCCCAGGCAGCTGGCCACCCTGCCCGGCCCTGCTCCGTCACCACACGTCCACCACCCCCTCCTCGCCAAGGTATGTCACACACAGCCTCTCAGCTACTTCCAACCGTTTCCCCAAAACTACCACAACAGTTTTGAATTCAAGCACACTTCCCCACTGCTCGATACCCTCTGCAAGCTGTGTAAGCACGCAGCTAATGGAACTGCTAATGCAGCCCCGCTGTGAAGGCCCTCCAGCAAACCACTGCTTGCCCTTGACCACTCCTCTCCACCATCACCTGCACCAGCTCCTCAGCCTCCACCCAGCTGTGCCCTTTTGCTCCCCCAAACATCACCGAATCAACAAGAAAAAAGGGATGTGATCCAGACAAACACACAGCACGAACCTGTCCCCTTGGTACTCACACCTAGAAGTTAAACCAACTCCCCAGTACCTTGCAGAGCACAAGAAGTTGTCCGAGACACCTCTCATCAGGGACAGGGACACAGCCTTCACTGCCATAGAACTCACAAGCAACCTAAAGGAATCTGCACACTAGTGAGGTGCCAAAAAATGCAGCAGAGGGCCAGACAGGGCAATAAAACAGTGAGCAGGAGCCATGAGGCTCTGGCACCCTGCCTGCTGCGTTGCGCAGAGCGAGGAAGGCTGGGCAGGGGTGGGATTTGGCGCTGGGGAGGGAGCGGGTGACTTGTCGGTCTCAGCCCCTGGGCTACTTCCAGCCCCCTTGACTCAGCATTCCCATCCGGGGACAACCAGCAACCCACCTGCCACGGGGCTGGAGAGATTATCCAGGCTGCAATCCTTGTCCAAGCCATAATAGAGCCGCTTCCGCACCCTCTCCCTCA